TGAGACCCTGTCTACACTGAAAATAGAAAAAAGTAGCCAGGCATTGTGGTGAGCACTTGTAGTCTCAGCTACTTGGGAGCTCCTAGGCTTGAGCCTAGGAGTTTGAGGTTGTTGTGAGCCAAGCTAATGCCATGGTGTGCCAGCCTGGGGCAACAGAGACTTTGTCTCTACAAAAAAAAAAGAAAGAAAGAAAGAAAAGAAAAGAATTATATGTATATGTTTTTAAAAACAGCTTTTGTTTTACTCTGTGTGCACTGTCTCACTTGATGTAATAATCTCATTAAGCATAAAGGACAGCACAAGATATAGATCATTTCAAAAATTACAAACATAGAAGCTAAAAATCATCTCAAAGGATTTTACAGTCAAAAAACAGCTCTTTAGATGAATCAGAATTGTCACTTGCTCCCATTTGAGAGCTGTTGCTCCAACTCCTTTTCTTTTCTTTTTTTCTTTTTTTTTTCTTTTTGAGACAAAGTCTCACTATGTCACCCTCAGTAGAATGCTGTGTCATCACAACTCACAGCAACCTCAAACTCTTGGGTTCAAGAGATTCTCTTGCGTCAGCCTCCCAAGTAACTTGGACTACAGGCACCCACCACAACACCCCACTATTTTTTTGTTTATGGGTGTCATTGTTGTTTGGCAGGCCCAGGCTGGATTTGAACCTGCCAGCTCTGGTGTATGTGGCTGGCGCCCTAACGGCTGAGCTACAGACACCAAGCCAACTCCTTTTATTTTCCTAGCAAAACGATCTTGTAGTCCCAGCTACTTGGGAGGCTGAGGCAAGAGAATCACTTAAGCCCAAGAGTTTGAGGTTGCTATGAGCTGTGACACCATAGCACTCTACCAAGAGTGATATGGTGAGACTCTGTATCAAAAAAGGAAGAAAAGAAGAACACTACCTTCTTAAATAGATTTGTGTCTTTTTGATAATGTGTTGAATTAATAACCAGATCTAGTATTATTACTACTTGATTTGTAGGGTCCTGGAGTAACAGCACCATTGCAAGTTTTCCTTAGTTTATAGAAAGGGGTCAGGTATCCCTACAGGCTTCTCTCTCTGCATCCTACTCACGTCTGTCCTGTCTTCCTCATAAGAAGTGTTCAAAACCTTTACATTCTCAGTGTCCTGAACCCACCATCTTATCCTCACTCTGCAAACAAGCTGGCCTTCTGAATCATGGAAGAAAATGCCTAACTTCCTCCCTGCTCTGACTGATCTTTTCTGTCTTCAAATTTACCTATATCTCCAGTGTGCAAATACAGTAGAACCTCTGTAATATCCAAGGGACTGAGACAAACTGGTCAACATATGGAGGTGATCAACATAAGGAACTAGGCCTACTGTACTGACATGTACACGTGGTGCATGTCTGGTCTATGACCATGTCTAAGTCAATTTAAGGAGTTGGTTAATGTGAGGAGGTGGTCAACTATGGAGGTTCTGCTATATATAACTATCTTGTGTCTTGGATTCCATTTTTTCCTGACCTTTTACGAACTTCTAGTTCTCAGAAATACCCTATCTTACCTGTGTGTTTATGTTGTTTTCCCCCTCTTCTAATTGTCTCTTCTTTTCACCTGGAGCTTTCCCTTCCAAGATATGTGTGTGCTCAGGCCTTTCGCACTTTCCACTCCCCTTGCTTCACCATACTTGTCCTTGAACTATCACCACTGAGTTATGAAGAGTTATGAAAGAGTAGTCTACACACAACGTCCCCACTTCTTGCCATCCCATTCATTCCTGGTTTTCCTTCTGACTATCTAAGCAGGCTTTCATGGGCTCTTTCTCCACATCTTTCAGAAGTTCATTTTTCCAGGTTTTCTCCATGTGTTTCAGTGAATTACATTCAGTTTTCATAAACTCCTATGCTTCTGCACGTTCTCTTCCTGGGACATCTTTCTTCCTCTTTTCCATCTTTATACTTTTACATCTTTCCTCAAGACTGGAATCATCACTCAGCATCCAGAAAGGCTTTGCCTAAGCTACTACAATTGCCTCGGTTCCCTTTTCATTTTCTTGTGTCATCTTTGGCTTCATTTTGTTCTTCTTTTTGACATGTGATGCCTCGTAATTTAATCCCCCAAACAACTGTTTGAGGTAGGTACTGTTGTTGTTCCAGTCATACAAGTGAGAAAATGGAGGCCAGAGATGTAAGTAACCAGTCCAGCTGGACTGGCTCTCCAGCAAGATCTTACCTTTAACCAGCCCCCTCCCACTCCCACCATGCCTATCCTTATCCTCTGAGCTTTTGAATGAATAAGTGATATAATTTTTTCTTAAAAGATTGATCAGAATTGAGACATTTAAATTTCATCATATAGATTTTCAAAATTGCCAAGGCAGCACAAACCTAAAAAACATGGCATTCTCAGGGATGAAGAAAAGTAATTATGGGGGTGATAATAACACCACCAATGAACTTCAGAATTTTAAAAAGTTTTTAACATACATTGCTTTTATAAGCCCATGAAATACATTATGATCCCATTTTACACATGGGAAAATCTGAAGTTGGCTCAGCTCCAGGATCTTGGGCTTTATATTTTAATGCTTCTGGGATTTTGCCCCTCAGCTCTGACCTCATAGGTGTGAGTAAAGTGGAAATATGCTGGTTCTTTAATGGAAAAGTTTTCACATTATTATAAACTATTTCTTTACACAAGATTTATAATTGATAATGGAGCCAATTTCTAGAACAAAGGTACCCCACCCAAGGATGCCATAATGCTCCTGGAGCTCTACTGCAAATACTTGAGTATACTCTATGCATATGTAAAACTTTTCTCTACTCTTGATATTTGCACAGCAGCCAACTTCCACATCTTTATAACACATCCAGAGATTGTTTTTGTGGGATTCCATCTCCCATTTCTGTCACCAAAAGCTCAAAATATTGCAGAAAGTCTAAGAGCATTCATTTTTGTTTTGTTTTTCTTTGAGACAGGGTCTCGCTCTTATCACCCTGGCTGGGGTACAGTGATCATAGCAACCTAGCACTCCTGGGCTCAAGCAGTCCTCCCAAAATGCTAGGATTACTGGCATGAGCCACTGCACCTTACCTTAAAGAATTCTTGATGTAGGAATCCATAATTGAATTCCAGAGCAATCTCTGAATTCCCTGAAAATTTTATTTAGAAATATTTGTGCACATGAGCACACCATTTTGTTTAAAAAAAAAAAAATTGTTACAGACTTTTCTTTTTTGAGGAGAGGGTTTATAGCTTTCAACCTGCTCTTAAATAAACCTGCTTTTCCCACCTCCCTACACTCCTATTTCCAAGATTAAGAACCATTATTTTAGTGATGGAAACCATAACCTCTCCCATCATAAAATAAGATAATTTAAAATAGCATAAGATAAAATATTTTAAGCTAAATTAAAATAATTTTATGTTCTTTATACACAGTTTGAATTTTTCTTACCATTTCTACCCAGGTAATTGAGAGGTACATGAGGAAAATATAGATGGCAGAGTGATGCCTTGTAGATTTTTGTAATAGATTGACATGCCCAAGGTGTCTTCACTGGCATCATTTTAAAATTGCGTATTGTGATAATGGAACAGCAACTATGAAAGTAAAAGAAGGTATTCTGGGTCTATACAATAAGTCAACCAGGGATTGAAACATAACTTTTAAACATCCCTGGATTATCCTGGATTAAGCATGCACCTAAAGCATCAGCAAAGTTTGAGTGACCCAATTTTAAAAGATGTAGTATATATATTATATATGTAATAGTCACATATTATTATACTTCTATATTATACTTTCAATATTATTTTAAAATAATATACTTTTATTACTTTGTTGTACTTTTTAGTTTTGTTTAACTTTTCATTATGTGTAAGGGTGGTAACCTATCATCTTTTCAAGTGTTTAAGGTCTTCCTGGTCTTTCTTTTTATGTAATAGTGGTAATTCCATCCAAACCATTTTATTTCTGTGCCTTCCAAGAGAATTCTCAAAATGAATAATTTAATAGCTAACAAGTAATAGTTTAGAGTCTATGGTACTGTTCTTGGTGTTTATGTATACATTGATTCATTTAAACTTACAACCGTCCTATAAGGCAGGGATCACTCTTACAACCTGCCCGCCTTTATAACTAAGAAAAATGTAAGATATTTTCAGTAGGAAAGAAAAGTGTAGCGAGTTGAAAAGGAGACCCGGAACAGTGTGTGAACCTGGTCTCTGAATCACTGTGCAACTTTGCCTCCAACGTTCAGGACTTCTTCTGGTCTAAGAACTCGTTAAGACTAGAGTCTGTCCTTCCAAAGATTCCCTCTCCACGTTCCAGTCTGCTTACAGGCTGAATTCTTCCCCGTCCATATTAAGTAGACCTCATTTTTTCTGAGCGGCTTAAATCAAGTATGCCACGTGCCTGAGATACCCTCCCCCCACGTCCGTTTTACGAGTGTGAGGGGCAGGGGCGATGGAGGAGCAAACTGCCAATCAGACAAGCTCTTTTTGTGCCTTTGCTCAAGTTCAGCGGTAGGGAGGGAGGAGGAGGAGCCGAGCTGTGGGTGGGGAGAGGGGGAGTGGCCCAGGGCGCCCCGCTCCCTGCGCTCGCGCTGCTCCGGGAGAGAGTGGCTTCCGGCCGGTACCCCCAGGAGAGCCCCGAGTGTGCCAACTTCAGGGTGTCCCATTCGCAGCAAATTCGGAGAGAATGGGACCTCCTAGGAGAACATGTGAACAGCTCCCTCTTGCAGTGGAAAGACCTGCCGGTGGCACAGGAGGAGTTGAGGCTTAGAATCGGGGGCCTCTTAACCTGCCCCCCAGAGGAGAAAGTTGAGGCCCTGGCGGGCTAGTCGCTACAGGGTGGGGCAGGCTGCCTGCCCCAGACGGCGGGGGAGTTGGGGAAAGCGGGAGGAGCTAACGGTGGAGGAGGGAAAAGAGCAGCGAGCCAGCTCCGGTGACGCGGAACAGCAGGAGGGGGCGAAAGCGGAGGGAGCAAGCGGCGGGGGAAGGGAAAGCGCGAGGAGCGAGCAGCCGCGAGCAGAATGGAGCCCACTGCCGACTGGCTGAGCACGGCCTCGGCCCTGGGTCGGGCGGAGGAGGTGCGGGCGCTGCTCGAGGCGGGGGCGCCTCCCAACGCGCCGAACCGTCAAGGTCGGACCCCGATTCAGGTAGATAGCGGTTCTGCTGCGAAAGAAGAGGGGGCGAGCGACCCTGGAGGACTGCGTTTGCAGGGGCGTCAGAAACAGGTCGAGCTTCGATTCTGGCAAAAGGGGAGGCTTCCCTGGGAGTTTTCGGAGGGGTTTGTAATCCTTCAGGCGACGCCCTGGGGGCTCGGGAAGACTGGGCAGGACTGAGGAGGCATGCAAGGGGAGGGAAGTGAGATCTTTAGAATGCTGTGAAGATCTTGGAGGGGGGAGCATATTTTCATTAATCGAGGTATGCTCTTTATCAGCTATAAGACCGGTTTTAAAGAAATGTACGATTTGCTGGGGCTACTTAGCCACAAACTCACAGATCCCTAAATGAAGCTTCACATCTTCTTTGTTAGGAGGGATTTCCGTGAAATCTCCTTCCCGGTTATGTTGGAATAAATATCAATTGAAATTATTCAGAAGCACCTACATACTGTGTTTATTTTTATTTTACCTGTGTAGGGCAAATATATGCTTGTTATAAGAACTTAGGAAATAAAGGTGAACATATATGAAGAAAAACATTGTGTGATTTCGCCTGAGAGAAAGTTGTGAATTTAGGAACTATTTAGGGGGAATATTTAATATTACTTTTGCTATTTTTAACTTACTTGATATAGTTGAACTTATTTGGGATAGATATTTTAGATATTTCAATTCCTCATTTCTGACAAATGCCATCTACCCCTCACACAAATTAAATTTTTTTTCAAGTGGATTTGAGCACCTACAAATTTTCATTTGATTTATTTTCTTTTTGCTTTGAATTGCTATCATGATTTAAATATTTTTATGTGGATTGTTTTTCAGCTTTTTATGTTATTAAATATAAGAAAAACATTTAACACCATTTTTATAACCAAGATGAAGTACTTCCTTAAATACACAGAACAGTACACTATAGTTTTTTGTGTGTGTGCCTGTAATCTGGTTCACTTGTATGTTCTCCTTGTGTTTTGAAAACTAAGTCAGTTTCACTTTCTCAGGGCAGGATTCAACCATATTGATTATGGTTTCTTGATTTACACAAATTGTGTTTAATATAGACTGTAACTAAAAATAAGTTATTCCTCTTTTTAATGTTTACCATTATTTTATTAATTTTTAAGTTCAATATACAAATATCCATTGTATACAATGGATACAAATGTATACAATGGATACAAATATACAATATCCATTGTATATTGAACTTACAAAATTCATTGTACCATCAACAATTAGAGAATTAAAGTTAACATGACCACACAAAATATGAAATACATAGAAATAATTCTTCAGAAATATATAATATTTCTACATGGAAATTTTCTAATTATTATTGAAAATATAAAAAGACACATGTCTGTATATATTGCAAAATTGTTATTAATGATTTTGATTTTTTTAACTTGTTTAGGTATTCTTTCTGTTATAACTCAGGTCATTGTCTTTCTAGGGATATTAGTATACCACATACCAATTCAGTTTGCTCTGGGGGTTCAGAAGGATTGTAGCAAACAGCTGACCATTTCTCTTAATATTGTCAGTATCTCTGAGCTAATATAACTAAATCCTAAAGGGATGTAGGATATAATCTTGTCCTAAAAGGAATTGTCAATTACAATCATGCAACACTCACATTATGAAAGTGTAGCTTCCTCTTTGGGAAGCACTTTGTTTCAAAGGTAATTTAAGAACCAAAGAGGTCAGCATTTCCCATTTAATGAACTCTCAAATCATAAGTTTGGGAAGTGTTTTAGTTTCCTATTGCTATTGTAACAGGTTATCACAAATTTAATGGCTAGAACAAACATAAAATTATTGTTTTAGAGTTCTGAAAGTCAGAAGTCTAAAATGGAGCCACAAGGTCTATTCCTTTTGGAAACTCTAAGGAAGAAGCTGTATCCTTGCCTTTCCAGCTTCTAGTAGCCATCAGATTTCTGGGCTCATCCCTCTATCTTCCTTCTGACCCCTGCTTCCATTCTTCTTTCTTCTCTGTGAATATAACCCTCTTACGAGAACACTTATGATTATGTTGGACCTACCTTGAAAATCCAGGATAATCTCCCTCAAGACCCTTAATTTAATCATATCTGTAAAGTCACTTTTGCCATTGTATTCAAAGCTTCTGAAGATTAAGACATTCTGGGGGGGCATCATTCAGCCTACCATAGAAAGGAATTTAAGGGTTAATTAGATAAGCCTTCTCATTTTACACATAAAGAAATTGAAGTTTTTGAATCGAAGGACATTATGCTAAGTGAAATAAGCAAAAAGACAAATATCACCTGCTCTCATAAATAAAATCTAAAACAACTTTATTAATAAAAGCAAACAGTAGAGTGATGGTTACCAGAGGCTAGGGGATGGAGATGACAATCAAAGGATACAACACCTCAATTAGGAGGAATGCATTTGATTTTTTTTTTGAGATTTATCGCAGTGTGGTGAATATAGCTAATAATTAAGTACTAAACCTTTCAACATCGCTAAGAGTAAATATCACATGTTTTCATTAGAAAAAAAGTCAAATATTTGAGATGATAAGTTAGCTTGATTTAATCATTACCCGTTCTATTTAAAATCATAAGATCCCTCTATACCCTACAAACATATAAAACTTTATGTCAATATATAACGGGGAAAAAAAACAATAAAAAGGAAATTGAAGTTTAACATTTCGGGAAGCTGACAGTCACTTAAAAGTTTTGAGAAAATTAAGGTTTATGTAAATTTTTTCTCACTTTAACAATTATCATGTTCTCGGTATACAGAGTGAACTAAACAAAATCTTCAGCCCTAACCTAATTTCATCTCAAAATGGCAGGCGGCGGGGAGTAGAGGAAATTAGGCTGCAGTAAAAGCCAGTTTCTTCCTCACTTTTCTGCTGTGCAGTGTTCCGCCCGTCGCGGATGCCCCTTGGCCCCCGCAAAAGTTTGAGCTATATAGTGGCACCCAACGTGTACTGGAAAATAGGGTGGATAGGGAAACTGAAGAAGGTGGACGGTATCTGGAAGATGCCTGTGGCTTGTGCAGGCATCTGCTTTGAGTGTGGCAACTTCACAACGAGGTTTCTGCCAAGGTTTCTGCCTCCACCCTCGCCCTGACCACTCTGGTCTCTCCGCAGGTCATGATGATGGGCAGCATCCGAGTGGCGGAACTGCTGCTGCTTCACGGAGCGGATCCCAACCGCGCGGATCCCGTCACCCTCACCCGGCCCGTGCACGACGCGGCCCGGGAGGGCTTCCTGGACACGCTGATGGCTCTGCATCAGGCCGGTGCCCAGCTAGACGTGCGCGACGTCTGGGGCCGCCTGCCCGTGGACCTGGCTGAAGAACGAGGCCACTGTGATGTCGCACGGTACCTGCGCCAGGCCTCAGGGGACACAGAAGGTCGCAGCCAAGTTGGCACAAATGCTGCTGAAAGTCCCGCAGGTGAGAACTGGTGATCTAAGAATTGAACCTTGGGAGATTCTCAAGCTCAGCATGCTCATTTTTCAGGAAAGAAAGCTGAGCAGGAGAGCAGCTCAAACACTAACGCTGTGAGACAGCCTGAGTCTCCTGATCGCGCTGCCTAGCCAGCGCTACATAACACGAAAATAGCCCAAAATGGACTTGAGCACGTGAAAGCTCATCTTATAAGCCTTACTCCACCCACAACAACCCAAACACCCACCCTCCCTACAACTGAGGCCTGGACTGTGCAGCATAAAAGACTTAAGAAGCTAAAGGTCTAATGCCCCCTCTGGCTCCAAACTAGCTGACCAGCCACATTATTCATCGGGTGTCAGTTTCCACCTTCCCAAACATAGTGGCTGGACCCACCCCAGAATTTCCAAATGCAGTTGTGCTGTGATTTCATTTGGAGAACTGTCATTCCTGGCTGTTTTGCCCAACTCTACTAATCTGATCCTCCCACTTTGTGTGGCAGAGTTTTCCAGAGTTGCCCCAGGGAGTTATGAGGGAATCTGGATGAAGAAGACCTGCCAATCCTAGAAGTATGCACACATGAATTTGCAGCACTCTAAGGGAGATACAAACTCTTCCCTCTTCTTCTCTTAAACTTTGCATAACTTTCCATTTCTGCAACCCAGCAAGCTATCCCTGAGAAAAGAATGTGGAACTGTGGTCCTCCCCCCCCTTTCCTTTCTGTGACCCCAAAGCTCCTCCCTCTTTTTTGACAGGGTCTTGCTCTCTTGCCAGGGCTAGAGTACAGTGGTGCCATCATAACCCATTGCACAGTATTCTTGGGCTCCAAAGATCCTCCTGCCTCATCCTCCCAAGTAGCTGAGACATAGAAGCAGACCATCCATCACATCCAGCTAATTTTTCTTTTTCTTTCTTTCTTTCTTTTTTTTTTTAATGCAGTTTTTGGCAGAGGCTGTGTTTGAACCTGCCACCTCCAGCATATGAGGCTGGCGCCCTACCCCTTTGAGCCACAGATGCTGCCTCCCCCCCCCTTTTTTAAATAGAGATGGGGTCTTGCTATGTTGCTAAGGCTGGTTTTGAACCCCTGAGTTCAAGAGATCCTCCTACCTCAACCTCCCACCCAAAGTGCTGAGCTTACAGGCCTGAATCACCACATCCAACCTTTCTTTTCACAGGGCCCCAATATCCTAATCTCCCATCTGTCTAAGTGCCAATTATACTCCTATTTCTTTTTTTTTTTTTTTCTGGTGGGGAATCTTAAAAAAAAAACTAAATATATGAAGCAATACATGAAAATAACATCATATTTAAGGTACAATATACCTTTGAGGACAGTGAAATCTATTCTAGTGGTATTTTGGCTCAGAATTGAGCCATTGGTCTCTCTGGGCCTTGGGGGAGACTGAAAGGACTGTGTGAAGAGTCTGCCTCCATGCCTTCTGCTTCCAGGTGAGGTGCTGTGTAAACAAAACAAAACCCTGCAGCATCTGGGGGGGTTTTTTGTTTGTTTTTTTGTTTTTTTGAGACAGTCTCACTTTGTCACCCTTGGTAGAGTGCCATGGCATCATAGCTCATAGCAACTTCAGACTCTTCAGTTCAAGCTATTCTCTTACCTCAGCCTCCCAAGGAGCTGGGCCTATAGGCACCAGCCACAATGCCCGGCTATTTTTAGAGACCAGGTCTCTCTCTGGCTATGGCTCCAACCTGTGAGCTCATCTTCTAAGTGCAATGCAAAAGATGTCCTCTAGTTGGCCCACGCTTTGTCCTCCGATTGCAGCTTGAATCTGGGAAGTTGTATAGGACAACAGACCAGTCATAGCGCTGTTGCCCAGTGGAGCAAGAAATCAGAGGTTCCAAGAAAGAGGGAGTAAACCATTGAATTCTGTCACCAGCAAATGAATAAAATGAGCTACCCTTTATAACCAAACTGATGGTATTTAATCCAAGCACACGCATCCTTTCCTTCCTTCCCTTCTTTCCTTCTTTCTTGCCACCAACTTCTCTCCAAACGCTATCCTTTTTTTTAAACTGATGTTTGTTTTCTGTCAACCTTATTTGCATCTTGTTTAAGAGCTTGAGGGAGAACAGCTTAAGACCACTCAGTGGTGGTTCCTATCCATTCAGTGGCCTGAGCAGTGGGAGCTGCAGACCAGTCTTCAGTGGCAGGCTGGGTATAATTAACTCCTTAAGAGGCTATTACAATGATCAGCCCTATTCTAGGTGCTGAGCACACAAAGATGAATGAGACAAAACAGAAGCCCTGCCCTCACAGAATACATTCTAAGAAATGGATTAATCAAGGTAACAATGTACTGTATATATATTTTGAGACAGAGTGTCACTATGTGACCCTAAGTAAAGTCACAGCTAACAGCAATGTCAAACTCTTGGGCTCAAGCGATTCTCTTGCCTCAGCCTCGCAAGTAGCTGGGATTACAGGCACCCACCACACACCGACTGTTTTTTGTTGCAGGTGTCATTGTTGGTTAGCTGGCGCAGGCCAGGTTCAAACCCACCACCTTCAGTGTATGTGGCTGGCTTCGTAACCACTATGCTATGGGCACTGAGCCAATGTACTGTATTTTAAAGAGTGGGTTTGTAAAACCAGTGCCATGGATGAGTGAAGTGTGAAGGCCAGGCGTGGTGGCTCAGTCCTGTAACCCCAAGAGGTCGGTCAAATAGACCTCACAGGTTTGAGACCAGCCTGAACCAGAGCGAGAACCTGTCTCTAAAATAGCCAGGCCTTG